TTTTTTTTTTTTGGTGGAAGAGGGATCCAAAAATTGTATATATTGTATTTTATGTTCATTGAATTTAGGTTTTGATAATTGGTTAAAAATAAGACATAAAAAATATTGTGTACGCGTTTAATGCCCTATATAGTATTTACATAAATATTAAATGGAGTTATAACGTTTTCCTATTTGCAGATTTATACTGTTCATAATTTCCTTATTTTATTTTACGTTTTTATAAATAGTTATTATTTTTGTTCATATTGAAAATCGCAGTATATTAATGTTATTCGATGTTATCAAACAAAAGAATATAGAATCAAATTTTTAGTTTAATATATGTGTTAATTAAAGTTTGCTTGTCAAATTGTAAATATATTTTTTAAATACGAGTATATATGTGAAACAAATTGTGTTTAAAAAAAATAAAATATAATTTATACAGAAATTTGTATAGTATATTATAAATATAAATTATTTGGATTTTGAATGGAGTTTGTAATTGTTTTCATGACAATATCTCTTTTGAGAGAATTTTAAATTTTCTACAATAATCACAGCTTAGAGGTATGCATATATATGTTACAAAATACAATGTTTTGTAATAATATGTTTTATAGTATAGGTACGTATTATATGTTATGATTATAAGTGGAATTCAAAGTGCACGAATATATTTTTTTCACGATTTAAAAGCATTCATACCGTGTACATATATTTGATCTGCACTTTTATAGTGCGGTCGTAAAACGATTGCAGAAGAGTTTTATATGCCATATAGGACCTATACATATTTATATCAGCCATGTATTTGTTTATCCACACAGATTTGTTTTACGATTGAAAATTGGAAAAAAAAGCTGCTTCCAGTTGCTAGCCGTAACATTAATATACTGTTATATTACGTCATTCGTTTCAGCTACCTACGACTAATATAAAGTAAGTATTACATTTGCTTTAACGACAACTAATAAATATGACTTTTTTTTCAACAGGTTCTTTGTGTTTTTAACGACTCTAACGAGAACGCGTCACGTACCAGCAATTAAAACACATGTTATTGGCGTAAAAACAATAATTAAGACAATTAAACGTAAAAGATTGTAAACATTTAACGATAATACTCCCACTCGATGATAAAAGATTTATCAAAACAATGAAAAACATCTATGATGCATATTATTTTTTCACAATATTGCAGTCTATATAAATTATAAGTATATTATGCATAAAATATGATTCAGCACTATAAATTGCAGTAAAAATATCATAAAAAAAATTAAAATTCTTTACGTTTTGAGTGCTGTGAAAAAATAATTGGTACCTAGGCGGTTAGGCGATGTTTGGATAATGCACCTACAATAGCATGGATAGGCGTGTAGCTCGTGTGCTTGTGTGACGACTGGACGTGTGATTAGAATACTCCACGCACACCGACTGCTTAGAACTTTTGTATACAAAAATAGTTTTTCACATCGAAAGTCTATAAAGCCATCTAGTTGAGCTACCGTTGAACTTCCGAATGTTTAGACGTCAGAAGGTATCTTCCAAGGGCTAGGAATCACGATATAGCTCAAAAATAATAATACTGCAGTGTATAGCTGACGTCAATAACGCGACGCATGCGGTTCAACGTGACGAAAAATTTGTTATTTCCAATTACTGCGATGGTTGTTTAATGTTTAAACGTATCGAAAACTACGATAACTTTCCCACGCCCACACAGATTGGTATTTTCAATTTGTTTTCGAATGGTTCTTTTATGTCGCTCCTCATCACGCACGCGTTTCTCGACCGTGCATATTATACCACATACATACACACACGTACACTACTGTATAGACATTGCGACGACTGCTAACTGTTTGTGTACCTCTATTATATCTTATTATCGTTATTGTTATTATTATTATCATTATTATTATGTGTCCATCGGCGATCGGTCTGCCCGCTGTCGTCGTCGCGGACCCGTGAAGAACACGCGCGTCGCACACATACACACGCATACTACACGTCGGGAATTATACAATTGAAATCGTTCGCTTTGTGGCAATGACAATCGTCGTCCTACTATATATATTATATAATGTAGACAAACAATGGCTAGTTAAGCACAAAACGTTTCCACAACACTTCAATACGAATACTTCCCACGCGGACCGACAACGCGACGTGTCTTCCTCCTCGTACCGCGCGACCACGATGGCAGGACAGCTCAGGGGCGACCGTTGAGTTTAGTCACGATCGCCGACTCACGTCAAGTGCGTATACAGTCGGAAAACGGGGCGGTGAGATCCGTTCATATTGCCTTTATATAAATTACAATAAATAATTTGGTATTTTACTCATCAGACTTTAAACAATCACAATAATAAACACAAATTTCAAAGATTACAACACTGTTGAAAAATCTAGTTTTTACAAGTTTTAACATTTTTTTACCTAAAAGAAATACTTATATTTTATACGTTTTCTTTTCATTAATTCACCACTTTTTATATTATCAAACATTATGTCTACGCTACTGATCGATCACATTAAACGCGTACGACATACTATATAATAAAATGTATAATTATTATAATATATTATTTACTAGACCGCTAGTTTTATTTTCAGTATTGACGATTTATCGTAATCCACATACGGGAAACGGAATATGTTTTTGTCACACGAAAATGCTTTTACCGAGGAAAAAACATCCAGAAAATCCTTTTAGAAAAGAAAGTACGCGATGCTGCAACGATTTATCACGTATCGCGGATATGTGTCGTGTTATCTGTCCAATAAATCGACGAATTTTCGGGATAGTTTTTCTTTCATGATTACTCGTGTACATTTGGTATCTTCGCCGGTGCAGTTATTAATCGAACTCTATTTGATCAAAAATAATCAATATCGTTTGTAAAATATGTGTTTATCACGGGGTACACAATGATGTTATTTAGTCTCATTAAGGAGATGGCAATGTTATTGCTATATTTTGGTATTGTATAAATTATATGACCCTATTAATTTGCTTTATTAAATAAACGCTCATTTTTTTTTTTTTTTGAAAGTTTACATTTGCAGTCTAATGAACATTATAATACAGTTCAAATACGATCTACAAAATAAGTTCTAAAGTCATATTATCCATACTGTATATTTTATATGTACATTATAGTTAAAATTATGGTTGGTTATACAAAAAACTTAAAATAAACATTTTATTATTTATTACTATTGTGCTTTAAGTTGGAGAAATGTTGAGTAATTTGTGCTGACATGTAAGTTTTATTGTATACGTAATATTATAAATCATATACATGACATTTTTTAGAAAACATTTGACATAGTTTTAATAGCTTACAGAATATATGTGAAATGTTTTAAAATTAATTTACTGATATAATTTTGTACTCACTAAATATCACATAATTTGAATTAAAAAATAATCCATGAAACATTATTCACATTTGTAACGACTCATTACTCATTTTATTAGAAAAAAAAATAAATATGAAAACGATAAAAGACTTTTGACTTTTTTTTTCGTCATTAAAGTATGCATGTTAAATATTTTTTCATAAATAATTGCATACTATTCTAACATTAATTTATGTTTGAAACCAATTTAATATTGTATTTTTATAAATATAAAATTTTAAGATTTTTTTTTTTATACCGAGTGGTTTTAAAAACTTTAGTTGTAATTTAATTTAAAAGAAAGTTGAATTATAAATGAAACAGAAATAAATGGGGTTTTTTTTTTTTTATACAAAAACAGTTATTACAATAATTAAAATCTATCTCAATTATTTACGATTTATCATTTGGATTGAATTTTTGAATAGGCGTGAAAATTTTGAAAACAAGATAGTAGTACAGAAAGTTACTTAAGTTCGTTATTATATTATTAAATTTGATTATTAATGCACATCAATTGGTTAAATAGCTTGGCGATTTATATGAAATAAACGTTTTTTAATGGACCTTCAAACTTCAAAGCCACATTTTATGACATCGTAAAATAATAAAAGTCCTTTAGGATGTATTTTTACAAACACGTATTATAGTTACGTTCTGATTTCTACATTATTCACACAAAAACGACTAAATTTAGTATGTCTACATATCTAAAACGGTTTTTAAATGTCTAATAATATGTTATACCAATACGCGGGTTAGGTAACTCGATTCATCGCATTAGCAACAAAACTACTGCGAGCACAATTATAATATAATGATGATGATAATAATAATAATAATAATATAAAAAACTTAAAACTTATCACGTATTATAATGTATAATCGTCATAGTTGAATAATCTCAAATTTATGGTAAAGTAAACCGAGGCTTTTATAAATTATGCTCTCGTATACGCGTTGGATCCGCGCTTTAGTCGCTTATATTTTACGACTGAATAACAGATTACATTATCATTGTATACGTATACCTGCTGCGGCGGCAGTGCATCCTGAATAGCGCGGACCATTAAAAGTACGCAAAGAACTATAAAATATAATATATAAACGCGAGATGTCTCGTCGGAAGAAACCTATTGAAACGTTTTAATAATGTTTTTTTCAAGTTAAATATGGAGAAATAAACTATAATATTAAAATTATGCTTTACCGCGCCGAATACTTATACTTATAATAATATGATATACCGGCTAATTTAAATGTAAATGCGACGCGTTCGATTCGTTAGGTATGAGAATTATTATACGTCGCGTTTATTTATCATGAAATAGCGCATCGTTATCATCATCATATTTTATTCTATATTATACTTTGCAAAAATATATCGTATAAAATGTGAAACGATCAAGCCAGTAGGTTTTGCAACACGAAATGATAATAATTAAGCAACTTATGATGTTATAGTGGTACTGTTGTAGGTACATTATATTTTAAATGTACTTGCGTACATTTGAATTGCCTTTTATAATGGCTAGTGTTCCTAATTTCATAAAACGTTAAGCTGTTGTGATATTTTATTTTATCGGATTTAACGTGTTATTACTCACCCCTTGCGGGTTGAAGTGCGATCCGGTGGATATGCATCCGTTGGTCACGTCTCCCTTCTCGTGAATGTGGAAACCGTGCGGTCCTTCGGTAAGACCGGACACCACTCCGGATACCATGACCGGACCACCGCGATTAGCCTGGATAAATGTCACGTTACCGTTCACCTGGCCGGGTCCCTTGAGAACAACTATAGCTTTGCGTTCTTGCTATACATTTAAAAAAGAAAAATAATTTAAATAAATGTTAATAAGTTTAAAAAAAAAAAATGCCCATAAAAGTATAAAACTCATTATTTTACAGTGCACGTATCAAAACGTACTTACATATACGTAGAACATAAATAGCCTATTTTATCCTAAACCTTATGAGTCAGAAACATTAGGTCTATTGGCTATACCTAACTACCAAAAACCACAATCAAAAATATAAAAATATCGAAAAAAAACTAATTAAATGACAAAACACAACATGAGTTGAAAAGTTATTCATTATTGTACTTAAGTCCTTAAACGAAATAAATATATATATTAATGAAATGATAATCAACAAAAAAAAAAAAATTAACTTGTTTGATGATAAATAAAACTTTAAATATTATGAAAGAGAAAGTCTTACATTTAAAAATTTTCTATTTGTTTTCTGTAAAAATGATTTATATCATTTATCCAGAATGTAGAGTAATATACTACAATAATATTGCGTTTATATATAGTATCCGCCGGCAATATGTAATTGAAAGTAATAAAGTAGGATAAGTTAAAGCTTTTTATATTTAATTACGAATGTATTAAAAAACTATATTATGTTGGTACGTTCTCTTTCTTGTATTTTTTTACTAAATATACTGCGAATATATGTTTTCTCTTTAAAAGATAGGTTATACCTAATAATTAAAATATATTGAAACACGTAATCTAATCTATATAATATAAGTAGCTATATTTATATCATATATAAAATATTTAGTGATTGTGAATTGTTTTTTTAATTTGATTTTAAACTTCATCACTCCATATAATTTTAAATGAAAAAACTAGTTTTTTTCAAAATTCTCACATTCAACGAAAATATTAATATCATACGAGTAACCCATAACTTCAGTGCAGGTAATTAATACCTATTGTATTATGTATAATATATATATATAGTCCTACACCTACGGTGAAGACGTGTATATAATATAGTAAATTCAAATGTATTTGTTCAAACGAGCAAATACAATTGATTTCGTTTCGAAAGCAAATAAAAATAAATAAATAAAAAAAACAACAAACCATACGCGGTAAGGTTACTACTACATATACGTATTATAATATATATATACATTCTTTCCGTGAATACTCAACGAGAGATGCGTGATATATAGAACTTGAAACTTTCGTAGAGCGCTAAAGTTCAATGCGCCGAGTACAGAATTACGATATTTTATTGCGAATATTATTATTGCTGTTGATGAGAGTAAAGTTGCGGACGATGTGGCAATAAAATATAAATATATTACTTTAGTAGGTGTATGTTAAAGAGGGAGAAGGTCTGTTTGAGATCTCGTATTTATTAGGTTTAAATAGTAACATTATTACATACATCATCAGATTGACATAAATATACAATTTTCGTCGATACGGAGACGATTCAATTGACCCGCCATGCTAATAACTATGCCTAACATACAGAGTGATTCATCACCAAGTATTCTCGCGCATTTTTCTTCCACAATAATGCAATTATTCAAAACCTAATTTTTGAAATTATTAAGTATACTTAAACGTCATAATTTTAGATTCTTGAAATTATTTTTTGCTACTTAAAGAATATGTTATGGTCTTTGGAGGTAAATACAAACTTTTGTTTTCATAAGACAATCTCAGTATTCTACTATAAATTAAAATTAGGACAAGTAGTTTTTGAATTTTTTCAACATTGTATATTAAAGATAATATGTAAATGTTAATGGGTTTAGAAGATGTGGGGCTATGATAATTTTAAAAGGTTAATAATTTATGTTTACAATTTATAAAAATGGTCCAAGTATAATAAATAGTAAATCCGATGATATTACATAATTTATTTTTTTATTTTCGTAAAATAATTTTTAAGGAACTGTTATCTTTAATATGAACATTTTAGTACCTAACTGAAAATCTGTTCGTTTGATTTTTGAATTAGGTATATCAACGTTTTATAAAAAAATAATTTACAGTGAAAATTGAGGTTCTCGTTTGAAAAACAGAAGTTTCAAAAAAAACCTCAAGAATTTGAAAATATATTTTATAAATATATTACTTAACATGCTTGATGAATCACCCTGTAAGCTTGTATATACATATATATGGGTGTGTTTGTATGTATATCATGTATGGAGAACTGAAGGGAAATAAAAATGTCGTATAACAACAAAATCGATTGGCATTGCAAAGTAGAAACGTACTACCATACCGCAACATATTATTATTATGTATAGCATTGCAAATGACGTCATCAGTGGAAATGTCAAAACGAGAAATAAAAAAAAAAATAGCTGAAGAAAAAACTGTATATAAATAAAAAATCATTTTGCCGGTGTTGGCTGGTCGTAGACGCCGCTCTGACACTACGGTTTTTCTCATCCGCAACAACATTTTAACCACAACCCCTCCACCTGCAACAATCTGCTAGGTATACACCCGCTGGCGATGTGTCCGCGTCTTTAAGTCTGCTGATCGATTATTGTTATTATTACTATTATTATTATTATTATTTTTCTTACGACGACTGCAATATCGCGCGTAACGGATGTTCGACGAAATATAATAAGCTTGAAAAACGCTTATCACAAACACGTTACTTAATATTATCGTTTCACGTTATCGTGTGCGCGAATATTGTATAATATTGTGTTATGTTCTCTTTCTCTAAAAATTGTAGATTATGGCAAAAAATGGGATCGTGGGGGGAAGGGGCGCATAGCGCGTTGAATGTTATAAAAGTCGCACATAGATATTTATGCGTCATATGCCTAATGTATGTAATAATATTATTATATTATATGAAATAAAAAATCATAAATAAAAGTAATGCGAAATATCTCAATTTTGCAACAATAATGGGGAGAAGGAGGGTATTTTTTTGTCGAGATAGCAGCGACTACTGCTTCAATACGAGTGATATTGTGCTTTCATTGTGAGATCACGACAAGATTTCATCATGATTCATTTCGATTTTTATTTCAATTCACAACCTCTTAGTGGTTTTCGAGAGTATACGCATTTATGGAATACAATTGATACTCTTCCCCGAAATAAAATCTGAACAGAGATCAACATTTTTATAAGTATTGACTGTAAATAATATAATATAAAATATTAAACAATGTGAAGAGCATAAAACTGTTTTATATACAATATATACGTATTATAAGGAGTCTTATATGATTATATACGCCAATATAATATAAAAGCCGATTTATTAAAAAAATCCTTGTCGTTAATGTACAATAATTGGAACACTTGGAGTAGTAAGCAATATCTTAAATGCAATTCCGATTGCAAGATTTCATCTGTTTGAATAAAGCAATAATTATTAATTAAAATAAATGAATAAACCTCGCCTAGCACGTTTTCATTTTAATTAGAATTACTGATTTTAAACGAATAGAGGTAAGATAGTAAATATTAATTAAAGTTATACCACAAGATAATTAACAATTTAATTTATTAATTTTTACTTTAAAAACAATTATCTATTGTATTGTTATTACCACGAATACCGTTTGATTAATTATTCGCCAAAAAATCGTTAACGTGTATTTTTAATTGATATTTGAAATATTAACATTTTGTTATTGTGCTTTACTTGAGCAAATTGTTTTAAAGTCAATTTTTCGAAGTATAATATTCTATTTCTCGATGTGACAATGGTTTTTTTCTTTCTAATTAATGTTTTATTGCGCTAGATACACCTTATACCGACATATTTACAGTCTTCATACGGATAAGAAAAAAAAAAACGTGCAAAAAAAAAAAAAGAAAAACTATTTTATAAAACAACAAATCAACGTTTGTGGTTGAAACTACTGAATGACAAGTGCACAGTTATAGATACGTATAAAATATATAAATCGTATACTCTCGAAAACCGATTATGGTCTCTGATCATACAACACGATCATACGCGTAATTAATGTTCAAATAATTGTTTAATAGATGAAAATATAAACGAGATACCACCAAGAATTATTAATTTTATGAATAATTATTGTACCTTGCCGCGTATACACATCATACGAATATTTCTGTTATTTATTGTCGACGATTCTGGCTATAATACAATATTGAGGCGGTGCAGCGCGCGTCGTAGTTAAATGATAACGTAGTGATTTCTAGTATTAAACTGGCGTGGAATTCTGTTGTATGTGTGCTATAACTTATTACATTTGTCTTTAGGCGTTGTACTGGTATAATAATATTATTTTCACGAGTTATTGAAACTCACCACGCGCATGAGAACATTACAATACGACGAGACCGTTAGTCGTTATATACCCAATCGATTGATATATAATATACGCGTAGGTACTATTTAGGCACCGACGAGCTGCAGCGAGTCTTGACTATAATAGTTTATTTCGTTTTTTACTGCCATCCTCGGTATAATAACTTTGAAGAACACTAACTATTGAGGGGGATAATTTTTTCCAAAAATATAATATAATGTAACCCTCGTAAATTCGACAACGGACTGCAGACGCAGAGTACCTGTATAGCCACACCGGGCACGGCCGTTGGATTAAAATACATGTTTATTGAAATCCTTCGAATGTATTATACTGTAACATTTCAAAATAGTTACAACGTTGTGATGAAAAACAATTCACGGTGAGATGTGTTTTTTTACGATAATGGAAACCGTTTAAAAACAAAAAACTTATTCAAATGCTTCACCATATACATTGTGTATTACCTATATATTATTATCACGTTATCATGATGCAGTTTTTCGATCATAATATGAACAGACGATGGAGATGTATGCTGCAGATAAACGTCTTTATAGTTATTAGTTTTGTTTTTATCTTTAATAGTAAAATATGGAAATATAAAATTGATACGTTTCTGAACCATCTTCAATGACGAGGGGGTGGTTAACAGCGGAGTCACTATTGCAGCTCCACTTCACTAATATATACACTTATATTTTTGACTTTTTCATTCGGGGATTTTTTTGCATTTTTTCAACCGTGACATCCGTCAGTCAACGTTTCCGGACCATTACACGAGCAGCGTGCGTCCCCATCATTCGGCTATCCTGGTCCTGCACAAGCATCTCGTTCGTTGTTTTCAAGAAAAAGGGATATAACCAAACCGTTGACTTATGAAATGTCGATTGGATGATCACGCGTTTCCGGTGGAGAATTTCAAGACGGAATAACGCAAAAACTTTCATTTTCAATACTGTCTCATTGACACCTTATTCGTGCACTACACAAGCATATAGTATTATAGTTGTGACTTGTGAACACGTCAGCAAAACTATTATATATACAATACAGCTATGTATACGTGGCCATGTATAGGGAGACATGGTAGGTAATCGTTTCGACACGTTTTCATTTCCGTTTTTATTTTCGACCGAGGTGGTAATTCTACTCACCCCCGTCCAATATATTTTCATTGCCGATCGATTTATATACATATATATATATATATATATATATATATATATATAGGTATATATCCGAAACGTTAGACTATAACGTTTTGTCTGCGTAGACTGAGTCAAATTAGAAAAAAATGCACTTACTACTGACTTCTCTTCCATGTTTATGCATATACTCCGATACTCGTATAAACGTTACTATGTAGAGTATTGACCTCATATATGTATATAATCATATATGAAATGTATACAATATACATGTATATAGGTACTCACGATACAATAAAACTTGAACGGCCAAACCGCACGAGATTAAAATAAAACACTGCAACTAGATCGATACTGGTCGACAACGAAAAAACCACTTCAAATAACCGTTTTGATTTTTAATCCATTCGTTGCGTAGTGTATGCGTAATGCGTGCAGTGTATACCATTGGCGCCAGCGGTGGTCTCCGGTACAAACCACACCCGTGACCATAAATTAATCTCGGCGAATGCCTTTAAAGTTAAACATAGGTACACAATATTACATTATGTTTACACAGCGAAAGGTCCGTCAAAAGTCCCATCGCGTGACGTGCGTATATGTTATTAATTATTACAATATATATAATATATATATATTGATAATATCATCACGTACGTTTCGGTTCACTTTTAAACGACAGAGATTTGTTGACGGACATGAGTGCCAAAACCAGAAAATTCGACGAAAAGTCAAACCGCTATTATGAATATTATAAACACGTGCCACTTGCGTTATATTTTAAAACTCGTACCTACTATAGCAGCATATCTTATATAAGTATATAGATATCGAAAAATTATGCAAGTTCGTTGTGGCTCTTAATTGATATTCTTGTATTACACTCGTATATAATTGCAAGAAAAATCCATTAACACAGCCCGCCTTGTTAGTTTCAGAAGGCGCTTTTTATTTTATAAATTACTATACATATTATAATATACAGATAATACTATTAAAACTCTGACATCTCACATAAATTATTCAACATTCACTATAGTAAAGTTACCACTTTTTATACGGAATAGATCAAAATAAATTGTACTGTCACGGAATGAAATTGTAAAATAGCGACCTTTTAACTGTATAACATAATACATAAGTATAATAGTATTGTGTTATTACAATAAATTTTAATTTCAAAGCATAATAATACATGCATATTGCATATATTATAAATTATAATAATATTATGCGAAAATACACAGGTGTGGATGGTCACTTATACTATAAAGCTTATAGAAATTAGGATATACGACTGTAATACGACAAATTGTGTATACATATATTATACACACACGACATACTTATATACCTATGCAGTAGATACAAAGCTTTATAGTTTATGGTTTGTGTTTCGACGTATATAGTTTAGAGAATATTACGTTCAATGAGAAAATCTTTAAAACTGAATGAAAGAAGAGCTGCTTGTCATGACTTTAAATAACATTCTCATGTTTCTACTATACTCATGTATACCTAGTTATACATTTGTCTAATGGATTATGTTCTAAGTAAAAAAGTTATTTATTACATTTTGGTACGTTATAGTTTATTTCATTACATAATATATAACATAATATGACAGACCATATTATTACATTATATTTTTTCCCATTATTTTTATTTTATTATTTTTTTTTTTTTTGATGAAAGAATTCGCTTTTTAAAACTTAATCTGTAATTACTATAGCCAACACTGCAATAACGTTTATACACACATAATTTACAAATTAAAGTTGAAAACATTTAATGTTAATTCCCGTGTGTTATACGTGACATAAATTTCACATAGTGATATATAAAATTAATTAATAACACATTAAGTTTACTTAAAATCAGAAAGATAAATCATAAAATATATATTTAAAAAGAGTATACTTAAAGAGCATTTTATACATTTAAAGAAGGTAATAAAAGTTTCAAATTTCATTTAAAATCAATTCATTTGTAGATTCTTACAATTCATTAACTATGGAAGTATTATATATATCTATCATTGTGCCTAATAATATATACTGTTTACTTCAAGTATTTAATTGCTAATATTTATTAAAAAGTTAGGAGTTTTATTGAAATTGTTTATTATGTACGATGACGTCGCGGGTTTGCTTTGCATCCACACAGATTACTTATAAAATGTCTTAAAGTACGGGTATTAATGACACCTCTTCTCTCGAACTGGGTACTATTAATATTTTATCAAGATACATAATAATATAATGCGTTTTAAATTTTAATGTCGAAATGATAGAATTTTATTATTCTCATAAAAAATGGTTACTCCTCCCGCTATATTTACTTCGCTACCGCTACATGTATACGGCATACGGCATGTATATTAAATATGTATATAAATAAATGTATAGGTACGGACTACACCGCCGGCAAACCTAATGGTTTTCAATGTCAAATTCACACCCAACGGCGGCCAATATTATTTTATATAAAGTGCATTCCAAAACGTGATCCGGTCTTCGAGGTGAACACGGCGTGTATGTCATAATGTAATTTGTTATAATAATAATATTATAACGGACGGTCCAATATTTTTCGAATCCGTCGTCGTTTTCAGCAAATCGTTATTATTTTATTTCGTTTATTTCTCCGTCTTAACTGGTAAACCGGTACCCCGTACGATTCCTTTAGCGTTTTTACAGCCGGTACCATATATTATTACAACACAACAGTAGCCGGCAATCATTATTTTTCTATTACACATAATACAATGTATATATATATTATATAGCGCGTACGTATATTTTGATTATATTAAATTTACGCGTATACGTATATGTATACACATCTACATAAATTATGAATTACGATTAATTAAACGTATATAGATAATAATGTCGAGAAATAGGAGGTCCGCCTGGGAAACGTGACGAACTATATGCTACGGTAGAGGTATTAATATTAATAATTGTTAATAGTCGGTCGCCTCTGAGGCAATTAAAATTTAAATGAGATTCCCCCGTGGTGCATGTGCATGTTTTCAAAATAAGGATTTTTTTTTTTTGACAGACAGAAGATTTTTATTACGTTTAAACGGTAGATAATGTTTATATATAAATATATATATATATATAAGGCTCAACTATGTACCTTGGAAAGGAGGGGAAGCGGCGGAGACTAATACTGCGGACGCAACTGACAAGGTGATCAGCAACATGATTTTGGGTGTCATTTTCTGTAAAAAAAAAAAAATAAATAATAATAACAATAAATAAATAAGAAGTCCTAAACCAAAACAATACGATTTGTCATAACATATTGTGTAATAAATTTTTTGTCGATTAAAACTGCTTTTAATAGTCTTAACTTTTCGGCGATAAAATACCAAATTTATTATTATAAATGGATGTATATAGTATTATATTATAATATTACGTTATTATAAAAACTATTCTAGAGATAAATAGTAGTTTTTTTTTTATTTAAAAAAATTTAATTTGTTGTTTATAATAAGAAACTATCCTTATTTGTTACAGAAAATAATCATAAAAAAGCAGGATGTGAATATAATATCACAATATATACCTATCGTGGAACCTTTTTTCTAGTTGAATCCTCAAACATAAAAGTATAAAAATATATAGGCGCGTACGTACGTTGATTCGGTAGGTACATTTTCAATAAAGAAGAAGAAAGACTACTTTTAATAATAACACATACACACACCATGTAATATCATACTATATAGTTTAATTAAATAGCGGGGTAGTATTTTTACGCATACATATGGAACGGTGCACCATGCACGCTATGTTATTAGATTATTTTTCACGAACGCCGGAAACGCCAATCCGGACGGACGAACGTCGCTGGGTCGAAAAAGAAAAATATAATAATCCTGGCCACATTGTCGTACAATAATACTACTGCGTTTGTGTGCGTCTGAGAAAGGTTTCGTCATATTTTTTCTGTCAAGAGAGATTTATTTCGATTTTTGTATTATATTTATCGATAATATATATTATACACTCGTTATGTTGTATGTTATATTAAAGGTATATATGTATATTCAACTGTGCTACCTACTATACTCTGGGGTAATGTACTCATGTTTATATTATTGTATTCGTGCTGATATGACGTCTTGATACGGAGAAAAATAAAAAGCAGAAAACGTTATTATATACAAATATACATAGAGTGATGAGGGTGACGACCTTTAACGCTGCATCGACTGTACGGGATGATGTAAAAGGACCAGCGCAGTACTCGAGGACCGTCTGAACTAGTACTCTGAAGTGCTTGTGAAAACGCAATCGTCACTTCTGCACCCCCGTGGCCTTTCTCGGAGGGATCGCATATAGGGAATAAATCCTCCCTATGACCTGTTTTTTATAATCCCGAATAACAGGTATAGTTTTTATAATGGACTTGAGTGTCAAAATCAACTGTTTGAAAAACTTGTTACGTTTTACTTCGATTCAGTTATTCAAACCGTAATTGTGCTGAACTACGAATATGACAGGATAAACTAAAAGCAAATAGATTCAATACTTCTTAGTATGTCATATTTATCACATATCATATTTGCTATTAAACGTCATTATACCTCAGTATATAAGTATCTATACGACAACGAGAGAACATTTTCATGTATCTATGAAAATATCGTAAACCTATAATAAAATTGAAACACAGTGACTGAAGAGTAAAGATTATTTATATTTACTTATTATATTTCAAAATGTAATTTAATTTTTTTTTTTATAGAAACGTTTTAATGTGTTAACATTGTTGACTAACTAGCGTGATTATTTATACAAAAAAAAAAAAAAAAAAAATGCTGATTTCATGGTACAAATGTCAAGAAAAATCTATAAACTTTTATAAAATAAATTACAATTATAGCTTTTTTTTAATATGAAATATAATATTTATTGAGAATTAATGTACATTATGTTGTAATTGTAAGAAGTTGTGTAAGCTACGACCATACAACTAACTTAGCAATACATTTTTTTATACTCCATCAGAATTCCGAGAATATCATTCGGCGTCTTATATACTTCAAATAATTAGTTATAATTGCACTTTCAAATGACGCAGGTTTATTATGTAAGATAAGTATTTAAAATGTAATTTGCCATTACTACTTCTTATGTAAAAATATTACAATGTGCAAAAGTTTATTTAACATAGCATAAAATACTTGTATTTCAAAAGATTAATATTACAATTCCATTGAAGTTCAAGAATAAGACGTATATCTAATACATTAAATCAAATATACTACAGGATAGATAACAAACAAAATAAATGAAAGGTATTATTACTGATTTTTCGAAACCTTCAAATTTTCAATTTAGGTAGCGACTTTTTGTAAATATGACTAAACAATTGAAAAGAAAATGTGTTTAATCATTTTCTTGAGACGTAAAACATTATAATAACAAAATATTTGATATCTCCTGTGCAATAAAATTAATGAAAAAATTTTTTTTGTCAAATAACTCTCCCCTTTCTAGTACCTATACTATATAGGGAGGTCGAATTTTGTCGCTATTGTGTATATGATTTACACAAGGCTTGTTGAATTCAAAGGTCTGTATCGAGCAACATTATATTATATAATATAAAAACATTTTTATTTTATTATTATTAATTTAATATTTTAATCTTCTATATATTTAGCCACCTCGCACCGTGATATGTACACGAGCGGCATCATATAATATACATAATTTATAAATATATGTATTTATATTATATACATCTTTATAAGTACGTATACTTGCACATGCAAGATATCAATAAAAATCATTTCGCCCATTCTAATACATATTTTATTATTCACTATATTAAGTCATACAATTGATATTATGTATATTGTAAACGTTGACACATATACCACCTGTGATAAATGATAATATGTTATATATACATATATACTTAGGCATGTATATTATCATAAACCTCACACATATTATATTATACGCACTCGAAACCTCATATATACATAAATAAATGATATTTAATAAGTAATATAAATATTATGGTATGCATATATACATTACTTTTACGTTTTTTATTTATTACGTTGCAGTAGTTTCATATTTATATATATATATATATTATAGTCTCCGATATATGTTGTGAAGGTATACCGTGTAACATGTGTATAATTATAATATTGTAATGGTATTCGTGTAAGGTGTGTGTCACCAGTAGGAGCCGTGGTGATCAATAGCAAAAAATAATATTTTAAGACGGTATAGACATATCACTACATTCAAATGTTAACGTGGACTTTTTAAACCATTTGTCAACATTTTAGGGGTAAATAATAAAGATAATAATAATAAAAATAATAATGTGCAGGCATGGGCGGGAGGATACCGGCCTACTATTCTCAATAAGCAGGCGGCCCATAGTTTCATATATATATAATATAAAAAAGACCTTTTTTATTTTTGCTCATTAATTGTTTAAAAAAACTCAAGTATTATTTTATTAGAAAATTGAAACGTACAGCCCACTGTGCTGTAGAATAGTAGTACAGTAGCTCAGTCCGGGCCTGATAATGTGATAAGCTGATGCGCACCATTATCGAAAAAATGTACCTACACTGTGTTTGCTAGGACGCCCAGGACGTTCCTAGTTTGCGCACAGATTATACATAATACACATTCTCAAAATTAAAATTATTATGAAAACGTATACAAGGAATTCCATTTATGACGTCATGTATTATAAAAGTACGAGTCTTCAGAATATCATATGATAATTTAAAAAAAATATTTCAATCACAATTAATATGTACGTAGAAATATACTCAATGGAACCAAGTGTACGATGTATGACGTATGTATTTTTTTTTTAATATTGCAAAAATTTAAGGTATAAGATGTTATACAGCGAAAGTATAATGTACAAATTATTTTAAATTCTATACGTCAATTAATTCAAATATGAAATTCAAGTTCGCCGTTACTATAATATGTTACAGTGTTTTATTATTATCGAGATAGCTATATCTATAAAATCAAATTTTAATCACAAAAAAACTTGTAAGTTCGTCATTTTACATTCATTTAACACTGACATTTGCATAATTATTGTAAGTATTACATAGGTTTATTTGGATCCTACATACATTGTATAATATACTTTATTACTGTTAACATAATATTTACGTTATATATCATATATTTATAAATAACAATTAAACTTGAATAGTTATTTATAATTATTTACTTCATGCTAAACGGAATTTACTAAGTTATAACTTATAATATACTATAGGTTGGAGTACAATATGTATTAACTTACATGCTCGATCTTTTTGGTCGTCATATCTCACGTCATGATGAATATTTAAAAAATATGTAATACCTATTTTAGATTTTCGGTTAGAACAAGTTCATATCTACACAATCAAAGGCCCATATAAAAATAAAAACGCATATCATCTCAATCTCTATTCTCAGAGATAAAAATAGAAGTAGAAGATAAACATAGTTAAGTGCATAATCGTAGATCGTTGGACAGATATTACCCATTTTATTGGAACAAAATTACAACGATTCGACGACGGCCCATCATCAATAAACTGGAAAACGAGAAAAATCTGTCTACGAGTCGCAACTGGAATCCGATAAGGACGTACAACGGGCAACTTTCTGACGGATTACTATATGTCTATATATATAGTTAGCGTTTATTCTTTACGTTTAATAGCCATAATATATATAGCTACTCATTAAGAGCCAAAGAAAAATCTTGTGAAGAGAGGATATAGGTAGCGTGTGTGTGAATGTTGTATACACGGCATCCAATAAAAAAAAATAAATTTATAAGTTCTGCGCTGCTACCCTCCTCGAACATATCCACTACATAAAATATATCTATGTAGTTATACCCAGTAAACGTATAGTGAAAGTCTCAGTCTAAGTGCGCTCTGACACCGCAATCAAACGAATTGTAAGTTATCGATTGTTTTTTCGCAGAGACAAATTACCTAACATACGATCAGTATGTTTATGTGTTAGGGAGCGCGTATTCCACTGCATACATGATAAATACCAAGACCCACATGATAATGTCATGACAATGATGTAAAAGCATTAGGTTTCGACCCACGTACCTATACACAATAATAATTATAATAATACATAATAATTAGAATAAATATGTGAAACGAATAATGCAATCAATTATGCATGTTGAATTTTAAAT